CGGTTCTGGAAGGATGCCTCAGAGCTAAGACCCAGCAAGTGAGAGTTGCAAGTAGAAGATGAAAGAACACTGGTCATTAAGAAATGGTTACTGGAGCAAAGGTAAGGGACAAGACCCTTTTCCAAAATTCTATTTGGAACACAAATAGACATCATCAATATTTCAGGCATAGGGCAAAGTTTGTAACTTGGGAATTTTGCAGATTTGCAGCTATCTGGAGAAGGACATGGCTTTTTTTTTTTTAAATTAATTTGAGAGAGGAAGGGTGAGGGAGAGATAGAAACACCAATATGAGACATAATAATTGATTGGCTTCCTCCTCATGTCTCACACCGGGAATCAAGCCTGCAACCTGGGTATGTACCCTGACCAGGAATCGAACTGTGACTTCCTGGTTCATAGGTTGACACTCAACCACTGAGCAACTCAAGCTGGGCAGGACATGGCTTCTTCCTCCCAAGAAACTGTCATGCTCTGTACCAAAGTGTTGGCATTCCTCTCCTCTCCTCCCCTTCTCACCTCTTCCCTCCTCTACTCTCTTCTCCTTTCCTCTTCTCCTCTGTTCTCTTCTTCTCTCTGGCCAGGATGTGGTGGGGAGAATGGAAGTGCTAAGGATGACTATTGATAAACTCTTATCAGACCTCCCTAGGGCTCTTTGAAATACTAGTAATTGCAAAAATAGCAAGACATGGTTTATAAGTAAAGATTATGGAATAAAAAAATATTCGTTATTAACAGTACTACATTTATACACGTGTCTGGAGACTTGGGAAAATTGATGTTATATTCAAACATGATATCTTTCTATCTTTGAATAAGAAGTACAAATTGTAGAAAGCACCAGTGATTCATAAATTTTCTAAAAGTAACCTTTCTTAAAATATAATTTTAGTTACTATTTTGCAAAGAATACAAAGTTAAAGTTCATCATCTGGGCTAAAAAATAAGTCATCTTACTGTAACACTAAGAAAGAATATTAACTCCATGGGCAATGGCTTTCTCTAAAGTAAAAAGAAATGAGGGGATTGGCTCAGCGCCCTAAAGACTGATAAAGTAGTTTAAAAATTAACCAAAGTTTTTATATCCATAATATGTAGAACATTGTAACAATATATTGAACTAATTTCATTTATTTATAATATATACTTTGTGGTATAAGTTGTTATGTGGTATCATCCAGAAGAAAACCAATTAGATAAGAGAATAAATTGGAGCCCTCTATTCAAAACTGAAAAACAAACCCATAAATTTGTATGAGATTACTTGGAGTGAGATTTAGGCTTCACAATTTTTTATAACTTTATTTTTTAATTGCCCATAATAAATTTCAAAAAAAAGAGGTTCTATTTATATGTTGCATAACAATTAGCTTTATGAAAAAAATCTTCCTAAAGAAATTAAGAAAACAAAGAGTAGTATATAATGTAGATTTTTATCTATTTGGCTAAAAATATAACTTAAGCCCTAGCCGGTTTGGCTCAACCATTGGCTTGGGGACTGAAGGGTCCCAGATTCAATTCTGGTCAAGGACACATGTCTGAGTTGCAGGCTCGATCCCCAGTAGGGGATGTGTAGGAAGCAGCCGATCAATGATATGCTCTCATCATTGATGTTTCAGTCTCTCCCTCTCCCTTCCTCTCTAAACTCAATAAAAAAAATATTTAAAAATAAATAAATAAATAAAATATAACTTAGTTTAGTTAGATTAAATATTTTTTAAAAATAATTATTCATATCAGGTATGTCCCTATGTTTAAATAATGTAAATTATTTTTTCTATCTTTGTTAATGTTTTTGAACTATAAAATAAGATGTACTACATTACTTAAGGTTTTTAGATAAGAAATAGTGAATGTCTTTTTCAAAATTCTGTAATTAAATATCCCAATCAATACTGGACCATGTGACCAGAAATTGTCCTTTACTCTATGTTAAGTTAGAGTTTCTAACTAAAACTAAAAATGTACTTAGAAAATATAAGAAAATATTTTTTATTTTTTAATATCCCCATATATTGAATGGCATATTCACACACACACACACACACACACACACACACACACAGTGGAATGATTTCACAGTGAAGAATCACTTTTCCCACCACAGTCCCCAAATTTGCCATTTTGAATTGTAACAATTAAATATAATATCTAAAAGATGCTAAGCTTTCCCAGGATCATGCAATAGAACCAAGATCCAAATCACTGCAGGCAGTCTACTCCCAGGCCAATGCTCTCCTATTTTCTACACAATTATGGCTCCTAAGAAGTTGTTATTACTGCAGGGTTTAATTAGACAAAGTTCTCCCTTCAATTAAATTAAAATTTAGGACTTGTTTATTATATATATATATATATATATATATATATATATATATATATATGTATGTATTACTTGTGTGTATAACTCATCTTTAATACATGTTATGTATATCTTAATTGAGAATGTAGATGTTAGAAAAGTATTAATAGAACAGATAATATAATAAACATATTGTCATTTTTATTCACTTATAACATGTGCTATTCAATACCAATTTCACGCACACTAAGTTTTCATCAAATTTCATGATGCACTATTAAAATTTCAAGAATATAGTGAGAAACAAACAGGACCAGAGTCATAGAAGCATTGAACAGACTGTCCAAACTATGAGGGAAGGCGGGGGCGGAGTGGAGGGTTGTGAGAGGGCAAGAGATCAATCAAAGGACTTGTATGCATGCGTATGAGCATAACCAATGGACACAGACAGTAGGGGGCGGGGGCGAGGGCATGTGCTGGGGGTGGGGGCGGCTGGGGAGAGGTTAATGGGAGGGGGGGAAGGAGACTCATGTAATACTTTCAACAATAAAGAATTAAAAAATAAAGTACAATGATTTACAAATAATAAATAAGAATATACCGAGAATTTCTTAACATGATATGCTAATGCTCCTCCTCCTGATCACATTAAAAAATCATGTGCTTGCAAGAAATATAAAGTACAAAAAACAAACAAAGATAAAATAAAAAAGAAAGGTGTTCAAATCAAAGCAAGATTCATTTCTATCTTGAAGCAGTTTTTCCTGTTCCTCAATTTGGGACTGATGTTGCTGCTTCTTTTTATTTCTGTCCCTCCAGAAGTGAAGGGTTGAGACACATGCAGAAAATCAGAGATAAAGGGGAAGGGATGATAGACAGTTTCAGAAGTAATAAAAAAAAAAGTGATTTTTGTGCCTATTTCTCCTATTTAGTGGCAAGTAACCACTGTTCCTCCAGTTTAACAGTCTTGTTAATGTCAGGAAAGATCCCCTGTCCACGGTGAGAATATTGAGACTTACAGTTCAAGTGAAATCATCCCCTGTATACTCCGTGCAGCTGTCAATCACAAAACTGAGACTGAAATCAACTGGTGTGGTTCATTTTTTTTTTTTTTTTTTTTTTTGCTTAATGTTGAATTAAAGTGTAACTTGCTTCAATAACAGGTGGGAATTTGCCATTGTTCTAACTAACACAAGCATGCATATTTCATGTGTCCAATATAAGAAAGCAAATGCACACAGAAACATTTAAACCTTAAATATGAGAACAAGTGGTGGAGGCCCATCCAGCTTTTTAAAATTGTTTGAGCATCTCAGAATCTCCTATGTAGAGGAGAGAACAAGCTAAAAGTTATCTTGAACAGCAATAAATTAGTATTCCTCTTTAAAAAAAATGATCGAATTTATTGGGGTGACATGGTTGAATAAAATTATACAGGTTTCAGGTGACAGTTCTATAATACATCATCTGTATATTGCATTGTGTTCACGACCTCAAGTCAAGCCTCCTTCCATCACCATGTCTATGCCCTTCACACTATCTCCCTTAACCCCTCGTAATCACCACACTGCTGTCTGTGCCTGAGTTTTGTTTTGTTTTTTCCTTTGCTCAATCCCTTCACCTTTTTACCCAACCCAACTCCCCTTCCCTCTGACAGCTGTCAGTCTGTTCTCTCACCATTTATTCCTTGAACTTTTTGTTACTCATCATCTGAAAGATTTGGATGGGATGTTTGAGGCACAGGATTTACCCAGCTCATAGTCTCACAGACTAGTGGAAGTAACATGTTACCCGAGACATTGGCTAGTGTCAATCTTTGGGAAGGAGTGTCTTGCCTCTGATCGATGGATGCTCCATGACTGGGAAGCCAAATCGGTGTTGGCTGGGGCATAAAGATAGGGAATGGATGGGTGGGGGTGTGGACCAGCAAACCAGAGAGCAGAAAGAAGAATAGTGGTTGACACTTTGTCCATTTCTCTAACAGAGCGGTGGGAGGCCCAAAAGTTCACTTCACAGAGATATAAGTTCTGCTGCAGGAGTTTGAAGCCATTTGATAAAGGCGCTAGTACTGTTTCTAGCTGGTTTTGATCTCATTGGAATGGCAGATTTCCTCATCTCCCTCATCGGCCTCCTTCAGTCCCTCTGGATGCCCTTCCTGGGGACCAGGCGGCTGGGTGGAGGGGGAGAGGCCATAGAGACAGAAACCGGTTCAACCCTGGGGACTGACTTCCTTCCTTCCTTCCTTCCTTCCTTCCTTCCTTCCTTCCTTCCTTCCTTCCTTCCTCCCTCCCTCCCTCCTTCCTTCCCTCCCTCCCTCCCTCTTTCTTTCCTTCCCTCCTTTCTTCCCTTCTTCCGTCCTTCCCCCCTTCCTTCCCCCCTTCCCTCCCTCCCGCTTCCTTCCTTCCTTCCTTCCTTCCTTCCTTCCTTCCTTCCTTCCTTCCTTCCTTCCTTCCTTCCTTCCTTCCTTCCTTCCTTCCTTCCTCCCTCCCTCTCCCCTCCCTCCCTCCTTCCTTCTTTTCTTCTTTCCCTCCTCCCTCCCTCCCTCCCTCCCTCCCTCCCTCCCTCCCTCCCTCCCTCCCTCCCTCCCTCCCTCCCTCCCTCCCTCCCTCCCTTCCTTCCTTCCTTCCTTCCTTCCTTCCTTCCTTCCTTCCTTTTTTTCAATCCATCCATCCATCCATCCATCCATCCATCCCCTCACCTGTCCACCGCAATGGCCGTCATGGAGTAGATGCTGGCGAACACGGCCGTGATGGGGAAGAAATTCTGGAAGCGGCAGTAGTTGGCGCCGAAGTACCACTCGCTGTGGAGCGCGTAGATGAAGTTGACCAAGGTGTTGAAGGCGGCCATGGAGGCATCGGCGAAGGCCAGGTTCACGAGGAAGTAGTTGGTGACGGTTCTCATGCGCTTGTGGGCCAGGATGATCCAGATGACCACGAGGTTCCCGAAGACGGCCACGGCCACCACCACGCTGTAGGCGAGGGACCAGAGCACGATGCGCCAGGCGGGCTGCACGAACTGGTTGGTGAGGTTGGCCCGGGGCTGCGGGGGCTCCGGGAAGGCGGCGGCGGGCAGCCCCGGAGCGGAGGGCGCGGCGGAGAGGTTGCCGGCCTGGGCCAGCAGTGCGCTCAGGTCCGGGGCGCCGGCTCCCGCTCCTCCTGCGCCCGCCGTCCAGTTCCAGGCTGCGAGGAGCGAGGCCATCGCCGCGGGTCTGGAGCCCCGGACCTGCCGGCTCACCCGCGGCCAGCCCGCGCCGAGCCTCCTGAACTTCTCTGCGTCCTGGTCCCTGCAAGCGCCGCAAGGAGGGTGCGGCTCCCCTTGCTGGCGGAGGGATGCTGAGAGCCTGCAAGGGACGGGGAGCACGGTCGCCCCTACCTCCCAGGAGTTGGAGACTTTGGCAGGGCTAAGATCTCGGGGAGATAGATGGCTAGGCTGTCACCAGCCGGGATCCCGGGATGCGCCCCGGCGGGAGCTCCGTCCGCGCACCGGCTAGAGCGCGGAGGTGCGGGCGCCCGACGCGCTATATAGCCTCCCTGTCCCCCTCGTGGGTGACGTCGCGGGGGCCGCGAAGCTAACCAACCCCTTGGATGCGCTGCTTTCCTCCTCCCGCCCCTCAGAGTTCATTCACTCGCTGCCCGTCGCCCAGCAGCGGGAGCTTGGCAGGAGGACGTGCTCCCTCCGGGAGGGGCTGTGCTGTCTCCGATGTAATTAAAATCTCTCCAAGATTGTTTCTCCAGTCTTTTTAACTTCAAGATATTTTTGCTTGAGGTGTCTGCTCTCAGACATTTACTGTTCCTTTTCTAAACCAATTAAACCGTTCACTGCTAAATCAAAAGCACACCCCTGGGGAATTTTTTCTGAGTGTGTGTGTAGGGGGAGGGGCGGAGGTGAAGGGGGGACTAGCTGCTGAGGACTGTGGCTGTGGGCACAGCTAGCCATGCCCTGTGTGTTGTGTTATTGGCTTTTGGAATTTCACTCAACTCTCTGAACATGTGTTTATGTGATCACTTCTCAGATCCCTTTTCCTCCAGCTCCCACTTTCAAATCCAGTCCCCCTCTTTCTCTAATCTCTATCACCACAACAGACTAAGGATTCCTCTGGAGAAGTCTGCCATGGGTGGAATGCCATGATGCACAGAGGGTAAACCAGGAACCCCCGAGCTGTATTTTCTTGGGGAAAAAACCGACAAGAATTGGATTTCTGTTTTTCTCTGGTATGAACACATCCTGTAAGTAAGCAACCTAAATGCATGCACTTGGTTGTACAATTTTGCACATTTGGCCCTTGGGTTTTCAAGGCCTGACTACGAGGACACAAGTGACGAAGAGGAACAGCAATATCCTTAGTTTCCCTGGCAGGTAGGCAGGCCTGACTCCTGAGCTTTGGCTGGAGAAGGTGAGCTGGAGAAACAGACTGGGATTAGATAGATGTTACAGACCATGGATCAGCATGTTCCAGAGGCTATGCTCTCCTGCATTCCATTCTTGGGGCAGGTGTGCAGGGATTTCATGTTAAACATAATTTAGCAATCTCCTGAAAACATTTGAAATCTTTCAACCTCAGTCTTCTCATTTAAAAATTAAAAATTAAAAAAAAAAGATATATATATTTTACAGGGTAATTATGAGGATGAGTGGTTTCAACAGATTCTTTCAACAACACTAGGCAAGATGGAGACCTCAGGAAGTGTTAGCTATGTCCCTCTTGTTATTGTACATTTCATCTAAATGTTTTCAGTAAAATGAATCTTAGGAAGTTTGCTTTACTTCAAGAGGAAGTACCTTCTAATTTGTGACTCTTCTGTATTGTTTAATTTCCCAGTTCAGAATATGTTCTTTAAAAATCCTGCAGTAATTATTGCACAAATGGACAGAGGGTTACTGGTAATGACTAGTGTTTTCCATTTCATATTTTTTCATGATGAAAACCGTAGTGTATAGAAATAAGTTTGAGGCAGCCTGATAATTACATTGACAAAACCCTGCTTCAAGGTAAATGCATGCTGAAGGTGATAATTATCAAGTTATTATTTCCCAGAGAGGCCTGTGAAAATATATGATAAATGATAAGTTAACAGAGATTTCATATTTCCTGCTTACTAATTCTAAATTAAACAAATTTTAAAGGCAAATTACTTCTTTCTGTCAATTTATCATCTAGAAATTACTTGAGTTACAAATGAAAGCCTCTTTCTTCCCTAATCAAATCATGAATTTTTAAAAGTTTCTTCGTATGGTAAACACCATTTATTAAAATTATAAAATGGATTGCCCAGTCGGCATGGCTCAGTGGTTGAGTGTCAACCTATTAAACCAGGAGGTCATGGGTCGATTCCTGGTCAGGGCACATACCCAGGATGTGGGCTCAGTCCCCACTGTGGGGCATGCAGGAGGCAGTGAATCAGTCAATGATTCTCTCATATCATTGATTTTTTCTCTCTTTCCCCCTCTCCCATCCCCCCTGAAATCAATTTAAAAATACATTAAAATAAAAAAATATATAAAAAGGATCATTGGTAATAATGTATATTTTGATAAAATGTTTTAAGTTGTAAAATTACTTGGTTGTATAGAAACTCATTCAGTTTACACTGTTGCTTTACTTATCCATGCAGAGTATCATACGTCTGTGATTCTGTTTTCCTTGGACTTACATGTGGGTGGAGATGATATGACAAAAAGTAAATGATAGTAGTTACAATGCAAGGGGCCTAAAGAGATCTTTCCTTTCAGAAGGTCATGCTTTTCCTTCTATGTCTGCCTTACATAGTGAGACTCTCTCTGTGTCGCAGGGTGGTTGTGAGGGCTAGCCATTGTTCATTGTTTCAGTCATTCCTCAGGTATGCATTGAGTATACTTCTTTCCAGAAGCTGTGACAAGTACTAAGAATGTGGCAATGAAACAGTCAGATATGAATCCTTTTGTCCTAGAGCCCACAGTCTATTAGCATTTTTGCCATTCTAGCAAGTATTATGAATAGTGAATAGGGGAGAAAAGAGAAAAAATGGACTGTGTGACTGAGTGGAAGGAAGCTAAGGCAAAAGGAACTTAGTGTCTTACCCCTTGTGTGTCCCCCTCCCTACGTGGGAGTCTGCACTTGTTTCCAGTAAATTTCTATCTTTTCATATACCACCTTTTGTCCATGGCTTTATTCTTCGAATCCATCAGGACAAGAACCCAGGAAAGAAATCACCCTTGCATTCTGCTCTGGCAAAAAAACACCAGACTCATTAGTACTTCCTTCCCTGTACTAGTGATGAACTGATACAACACAGACCATAATAGGTACTTGAAGTATGGTAGCAACCATACTTAGGTAAAAACTGCTGTTTAAATTTTAACCCTACTATTCTGGCTTCAGCACTTGCTTAAACAATAGGGTAGTTGCCTCAGCTTTTGAACAAAGTCTTATTTCTGCTAACTTACTACAATAGCTGTACTGAAGGGAGTCATCTGTCAAATAGTGGAGGAAAGAAATAGTATTCAATGTCCTTGGAACTAGAGTCTATGATCTCAGAATGCATGGTATCCTTGGCATTAGTTATAGCCAGCTTTATCTCCCCATTTTTTATAGTGTTTTACCAATCCTTTGTGTGTGATGGCTCCCATTGTAGTTAGTAGCCACCAAAGAGTCTGAACATAGCTTCCTTATAGTGGAGAGGTATTTTCTCATTAGTTTTCAGAAGCACACCACAGAAAAGCAATATAACAAGAGCTATACCACAAAAAGCAAGAAGAAACTTGTGGTAATGCCATGTGGACTTCCTCTATTTCTGTAAAGACTCAGGATTTTTCATGTGAATTTTTGTGGCTACATTCCATGATAAAATGTAAGCATAGCACTACAGATTATACTTATATTTAATTGGCTAGGTTCTGATTTTGAATACCTTATGTAAGTTATATTTCTATTGGGGGATTTGGGATAAGATGGATATTCTCCCTTTGTGTCTACGGTTGTCTACGGTTGATGAAGTAAGAGTGAAACCTAACTCATAATTTGACTGTAATTACTTTCTTAATTGCTCCATTTGTTTTCTCACTGTGATTTTCAATCACCATAGGGATGCCATAGAGAAATGCTTTGAGGTCTCAGAGAACAAAATAGGAGAAACTAAATTGAAGTTTTATTTTCTCTCTTCAATAAAATCATATTTAATATTTAGAGGTTTTATTTAAAGAAAAATCATCCTTAATAAGTTTAAAAACAACTGCTTAAGAGGGCCTGGTTGTCTCAAATGAGAGAAGTCATGATGACCAATTCCAGTAAGGGATTGCCCTGATTGGGTTGAGTAAATAACAAAACCCACGGGTCAGAAGTACACCTTAATTGGCCTGAATACATCACAAAGCTAAATTATAAAGTTGAAGTTACATGAGCTCAAATTGTATTATATTATTCATCCTAGAAAATTATTACAAGATTATGCTAATTAACACCTTCAAGGAGAATAACCATTGTTATTTAGAAGTGTTTCTTGGAATCATTATAGGATTGAGCCATTGTTTTTTCCACTAAAAATTGCCATGTCTTTTTAAAACATGTAGGTAAAAAACACACAAATTACAGAGAATGCCACATCCACTGAAAAGTAGTCCATATATATTATAAGACAGAACTCTCAGAGTTAGATAGGCAGAGAACTTCAGCAAACATAATTTCATTAATTTCCAAGCTGTTGACCATCTTGAATTGAAGAGTTTCTTAGTTTAAAGCAAAATTCAGTAGATATAAATGGGTAGAACAAGCAAACAAATAAAAACAGTACTTGCTTAACTTTGAGCAAGAAGTTAAGCAAATATTAGGACTCAAGTCTGCATTGTTCAACATAGTAACCACTACTCACATGTGGCTGGTGAGTCCTTGAAATGTGCAGTAAGTGTAAAATACACACCAGGCTTCAAACACTTACTATGTGAAAGTAAATAAAAATGTCTCCTTGATAATTTTATATTGATTTACATATAGAAACAATAAGAACATGTTGGTAATGGATTACTATCTGTTTGTGGGACTAGAAAAAGGGTAAGAATCCACTCATAGTTAATTTTTATACACCCATAAGAAACTGTATAACTCAAACACTAGAATATGGTTCAATCATTTTCAACAAATATTATGCTATTTTAAATCCTCTCCATATAAGACATCTTTCAGATATTGAACTGAATGAACTCTACCTGATTGTTAGAGCCAAAGTTTTCAGGCCTAGAATGGACTAAATGATATGAGCAATCGACTCCAAGATTTTTGCCAAAATGACAAGATCCTTTCTGTTTACACTTTACAAGGATACAAAATATTAATGATTAACCCCACAGGAATATACAGCACTGTTGTGTCTCTAGTTATTAATGATACTAAATTTAATAGTATTATTAAAAATAATTATGCATACCGTGTTTCCCCGAAAATAAGACATCCTCCGAAAATAAGACCTAGCACATGGAAAGATAAGACATCCCCTGAAAATAAAACCTAGTGCAACTTTGGGAGAAAAAATTAATATAAGACACTGTCTTATTTTCGGGGAAACGGTATTACACCGTCTCTTTCCTTCAAGGAAGTAAAAATTAAACACTATCAACAAATATATTAATACAATGAATTCATTTTAATTATATATATTTTTTGAGCATCTGCACTGTGTGGCACTGTTAGAAAATCTATATGTATGAAAGCCTAAGTGACCATTTGCCTGTTTGACCATTCGACTGATAACTATGACATGCATTGTCCATGTAGGGGCAGATGCTCCAACTGCTAGGTTACCTTGCTGCTGGGGTCTGGCTGATCGGAACTGGGCCAGATGGGCCAGAAATGACCTG